GAAAAGTTATTGGTCGAATCTATACAGTATCCCCTTCAGAAGGTGAGAAATTTTACTTACGTGTTTTGTTGTCTCATTTAAGAGGTCCAACAAGCTGGGAATACCTTCTTACACATAATGGTTTGTCTTTTTTCACATTTAAAAAATCAGCTGAGGATTGGGGGTTATTAGAGAGTGATAATAGTATTCGTGAATGTTTGCTTGAAGCATCAAATATGCGTATGCCATATGCTTTACGAAGGTTGTTTGTGACTATATTAATTTTTTGTGAACCAACTGATGTTAGAGGCCTATTTACTGAGTTTTATCCCTACATGGTGGAGGATTATCAAATGACAAATGTTGTTGTGGGGGATAACTTTGAAAATATGTTATTGAGGGAATTGAGGGATCTTTTGCTACTGCATGGAAAACTAATAAAAAACTACGATCTTCCAATGTTGACAACGGAAACAAATGAAGTCGGGGGAATGCCAACAATTATTCAGGAAGAGTTATCGGTCCAAATTCCAAACGAAGACGTTCAATCTGTTGTGAAGTTAAATAATGACCAGATGAGTGCTTACAATATAATTATGAACGCCATCCACCAAAAACAAAGTCAAACTTTTTTTGTTGATGGTCCTGGAGGGACAGGTAAAACTTTCCTTTATCGAACTATAATGGCAAATTTGAGGCGTAATAATGAAATTATCTTAGCAACAGCTTCCTCTGGTATAGCTGCTACATTATTACCTGGTGGTAGAACTGCACACTCTCGATTTGGGATCCCCATTGATATAGAGCCCCATTCTATTTGCAAAATAGCAAAGAATTCTGACCTTGCAAAACTCATTAGAATAACCAATGCAATCATTTGGGATGAAGCACCCATGATAAATAGATATTGTGTAGAAGCATTGGATCGATCACTTCAAGACATCATGAATAACAATGCTCCATTTGGTGGAAAAATAATGATCATGGGCGGAGATTTTCGTCAGGTGCTACCAGTTATTGAAAAAGGAAATAGAGGACAAATGATTTCAGCATGTATTGTTAGGTCTCGATTATGGGCCACCACAAAGGTCCTACATTTGCGCCAAAACATGCGATCAATTCATGACCAGGACTTTGCGCAGTTTCTAATGAGGATTGGAGATGGTAATGAACCTACTAAAGCGGATGACATGGTCAGAATGCCTGCTGAAATTGTAATACCTTGGGAAGGAGAAGTCTCCATACAAAAGCTTATACAACATACATTCCCCCGTTTAGAAAACCATGGATGGGATGCTTCATATATGGTGGAGAGAGCGATACTTACTCCAAAAAATTGTGATGCGCATATGTTGAATGACATGATTATTGATAAATTCCCTGGAGATGAACACATTTTGTTATCTTTTGATGAGGTTGAGGGTGATACTCATAATCTATATCAACAAGAATACTTGCACACAATTGCTCCTGGTGCTTTACCGCCACATATTTTAAAGATAAAAATAGGGGCTCCACTGATGTTGTTGCGAAACATAGACCCTAAATTTGGATTGTGTAATGGGACAAGGTTGTTATGTCGTGGTTTTTTTATGAATTTGCTTGATGTTGAAATACTTACAGGCCACAATGCTGGAAAAAGAGCTTTCTTGCCAAGAATTAAGCTCAAAACCACTGAAGGTGCGGGACTTCCTTTTGTGCTTATTAGAAAACAATTTCCTGTCAAACTAAGCTTTGCACTCACTATAAATAAATTCCAAGGACAAACAATTCCAAATGTTGGAATTTATCTTCCACGACATGTTTTCAGTCACGGACAATTGTATGTTGCTTTATCAAGAGGTGTTTCGCGGGCTGCAACAAGAGTGCTAATTAAAGACGGAAGAGTAAGTGGGGAAGAAGGGGAGTTTACAAAAAATATAGTTTTTAAAGAAATTTTGTTGTCACAAACTCAGGTATTTATCTATTATGTTTAATCAATCAACTATACTTTTGCAATCTCACATTAGGCGTGTACTTACTAGATTACACTATATCGTTGACTACTAAAATTTACTTCATTTGTTTTGCAGTGAAACGAGAGATATTTTTGATTTTGATTCCATGGTTGACCTTCCTATTAAGCAATAATGTAACTTAATATCCGTGTTAATGTTTATGTTTAGTTGCTTAATAAATTGTGAGAAAGATTTTTGTTCTTCTTCTATCTAAATCTTCTTATGCTTTTGACTAATCTATAGCAATATATAAATACAAAACTTAATGTTTCATCATATAAATAGTTTATATTAAAATCAATATAAATAGTTTATGATAAAATTAAGCATGTAAAAAAATACGCTGTTAATATTTTTGCGCGTTAGCGCAATAAAAAAAGCGGACAAACGGGCACGGATGTGCCCGTTTGGACGCTAGTAGTAATAATAATAGTAATAGTAATAATAATAGTAGTAATAGTAATAGTAATAATAGTAATAATAATAGTAATAATAATAATAATAATAATAATAATAATAGTAATAATAATAATAGTAATAATAATAATAATAATAATAGTAATAATAATAATAGGTAAAATAAAAAAGTAATAATTAATATGAATTAAAGTTAAAATATTGGTATTGATAATAAATTATGGAAAGTAAAACTAATTTTAAAAATGATAACTATCTGCAGAGAATTAGTTAGTAATAATATCATGAATGAATTCAAAATGGGAATTAAGGGTCACTAAATAAATTAAAAAGGAGAATTTGATAAATAAAATAAAATAAAGAGCAAGTGTATCACCGTATCAACGGCATGTCGGAGCATATTGATATAGATTCTTTTTTATGTATTTGTGCTTCATTGCTTCTTATACAAAACAAACCAATTTGATTTTTAGAAACATCAATAATCTATCCGCACAATGATCTTACTAACAGAAACAGTTTAAACATAATTGCCTAATTTGTTCATATCGGTTCAAAATTGTGTACATGCTCCAATGTGAACACGTCAATTCTTAATAAAAAAGGAAAAGGAAAATAACAAAAAACATTTACCCTTTCACAACAAATGTGAGATGCATCACAAGACTAAATACTTTTTCTTATACAAAAAGGATGAATCCCCATTGACATCAACTTAATGCTAATCCACCTGATTATCTGGATCATTCAACAAAACCTTATCAGCCATTCTCATGACAAAAAGCCAAGCATAACAGCCTACATCTTTTCTCCACAAAGTGAATTCTAATTTCAATGAAATTCTCATGTACTGTTTGATTTTCCAAGATCTTCTTCATTATTGAGAATTTTCGTTACCTGTATCACAGAAATTAGATGTCAATGTCATTAATCAATAACATTAAAAAAGGTATATTACATGCAAACCTATGGTTAAGCGCCAGAATTAATATAGTAGAACTAAAATACATTGGTGTCGTCATGACAAACACACTGATATTTGTTTTTCTCCATTCTGATTTTGACTTATTTATATTTATTTATTCATTTATTATTTTTCTTAATATATGTGAAACAATGATAAAAGACACTCATTTTGGGACGGATGGGATAATTAATAACAATAGGCAACCAATAGCATGTTCTGGAGGAAAATGATCCTGCTCATGAACGATGATGATAACTGTGTTGAAATGTTAAAGCACATAAAGCATATGAAATAACAGCAAGCTGGAATCAGAATGGAGAAAAACAAACAAGGAGGCCCGACAAAAAGTACAATCTGTCCAAGAATTTATTCAATCCCGTGATATGTGTAAGCGCCAGAGAAGTATATGACATCTTATCCTTACAACTTGCTGAAGAAGTATCTTTAGATTTTCTTAATGAATTGCCCAATCCAAGGACTGAGGCAATTCTGGTGGTTGCAGACCGTCTCTCGAAGTATGCCGACTTCATTCAGTTAAACCATCCTTACACGGTGCAAAAGGTGGTAGAACTATTCGCCGAGGTAGTTTGTCTTCTTCATGCAGTCCCTCATTCCATTGTAAGTGATTGATACCCATTATTTGTAAGTTTACTCTGGAAGGGGTAGTTCAAACTTTATCATCCAGAAACCGATGGACAAACGGAGGTGGTTAACGGTTGTTTAGAAGACTACTTGCATTGTTTTGCCTCAGATCAGCTGCGACTCTGGTCTCCGTGGGTGTCTTGGGTTGAATGGTAACACCACATTTCATGCATCAACCGAGTTGCACCTTTTGAAATTGCGTATGAGAGGAAACCTTTGTGCGCATTTTACCTGGGGAAACTAAGGTAGCGTCTGTTGCCATGGATTAGATGTACCGTGATGAGGCCCTCCAGCAGCTTAAGGAGCATTTGCAGTGTGCCCAACAACAACCAATTTGTATCCCACTACTAAATAGGCTTTGCTACATGGATCAAACAATGGCATAATGTTTTGTCATATATTATATCTCTATCCAACTAATTAACCTCTAGGTCATTCTTAATAGTTTCTAGTTTTTCTAAGTCTTCCTCTGCCTCTAATTAACTCCAATGTTCATCCTGAATTCCAAACAGTGATCAACAACTAAACTAAATTTCAGTGTGGCTAACACTCTTAAGTTTGATATCACCAAGGTAGATTATCTTACAAGGTTTGATTATATAACTGAGCAAGGCACAAATAGCATGTTCAAGCTTGAATAACCCTCAATTTCTCATCAAAGGAATTTTAGAATATTAATTTAGTCACTGCATAACATGTCCTAGAAACCCTAACTTTTGGATTAATTGGATGCCAAAAAAAAATGTCATCCAAGAACCAAATGGGGATCAATCTTCACATTTATTTGAATGCAACTCGAGCTTGATACAAGTAGGTTTACTTGAGCTTGTGCATTTCCACTCAATTTACAAAATGCATAACATTTAATTATAAACAAGGAACAAACTATAGCCTCTGTGCAAACTACCGAGGATATAAGTAGTAGGATTTAGAAAGAATTTATGAAACTTACTACTGAAATGGACTTTGCAACCTTGTACCATAGCTCATGGGATTAACTAACTATCAGACTCTGACATCTTCAATACTTTAGGTCTTCTATACCACAATATAGCAAACCATAGAGCCCTCAATAAAACCCCATTCGCAAAGTGAGGAATTAGTATACGTCCCCAATAAGGGTAATATGGACCTGGCAATTTGATCAATGTGAAGAAAATTGCAATTGCAATTAAATGCCATGGAACTTCTGCATCCTGAAAATCAGACATGAAGAGATACGGTAAAAGAGGAGGATCAAATACTGTGAAGGGGGAAGTAGAATGAGTATCAGATTGAGTTTCGCATCTATTTTCTAATAATATAACTAGTAAAAAATTCCTCAGAAAATATTAACACAAGTGTAAGTTCCAAACAGGCCTGACCCAAAAAATGAGGCACTCATTTAGTTTTGCTTTTATCTTTTTAAAGGCAAATGTTAGTGGGAACTGGTTAGTTTGTAAGGGGAGAGAGAATTTATTAGCAGCACAGAATTAATCATGGGCCTGATTCTTAATACTCCGTCAGTGTTCCAATATTCGGATTCAGAATCTATCTTAATATTCAATATGCAATCAGAGTAGTCATTCCCGGATAGTGGCGCGGAGTGGCCGACCCCAAAAATGGGATAGCAGGATAGCGTATAGTGGGATGACAGCTCTATTTGATCATTTTTTTGGAGAAATTACATATAATAATTAAAAACATATACTTAATATAAAATTAAACAAATATCTCAACTATAAAATATTCATAAATCAAAGCACACGTGACTCTTGAAGTGCATAAACGACTATGAAGGAAAGTTAAGGTTGAGTTTCAACTCAAATTTGATTGAAAAACCCAAAGTTAACCTTAAAACATTGTAAATTTAAGGGGTAATTTTAGATTTTAGTGGGGAAAAGAATAGCGGGCCAGAAACTGCTTCGGGCCGGGAACCGCTTTGCTCCGCTGTCCTTCTATTTATCCTATAGCGGCCGCTATACCGCTAAGGCTCTTCCCATAGCGGCCGGCCTCTGCTCCACTCTGGCCACTATACCGCTAAGCTCTTCCCATAGCGGTCGGCCTCTGCTCCACTCTGGCCGCTATACCGCTAAGGCTCTTCCCATAGCGGTCGGCCTCTGCTCCACTCTGGCCGCTATTGACTACTCTGCATGCAATCTTAATGTTGGATGTCTATGTTGGAAAACATAATTAAAGAACATCAATTGTAGTCATAATGTTGTCATGACAAATAACTGAAAAATGAAACTTCAAAAGAAAGTGGAGCAAGCTCAATTGTCAGCAACTCAAGATACGGAGGTAATGTAGTGGTTAAAAAAAAACAGCTTAATGTAAAATCCAAGTACTTTATCGAATATCTATTCTAGACTATACAATGAGGCATAGCCAATGATTTTACCCTTAGCCGTGGTGACAACTCTAATGCAGTCTCTTTAAGGATCCCAGCAACAGCAGCTCCAAGGAGAATCGGAAAAGGAACAAGAACTAGCTTACTTTGACGTGCGCAGTAGGATAACTCGCTGATGGAGGTAACTGTAAACACAGGTACACAAAGGTATTTGACAACAGCCAAAGTAAGATCAAGAACAAGTTGAATGAAGTTTCCCAGTGCTGTGTTCCAAGGGAAATTCTTCACCGGCTGAGGAGAATTGTCCCAAAGCTTACGCGCTTTTTCTAGTAACTGGTCAAGTTGCAGTTTTCTACCATCATCTGATGAATGTGCAGACATATTCATAGCACATGAGATCTTAGGCCTTATCTTTTGAGATGCACAAAATGGCTCAACACCTAAACAGCAATCGTGCTTCTTGACAAAACCTGATGCACCCTGCAGTAGCAAAAACAAGACTTTCAAGCTAATTATGAAACAAATCACCAAACCTAAAATGGCTGTGTAATTTATAAAGGAAAAAAAAAACACTTTTCTTATGTAAAAGTAGTCTACAACTCTACCTTTCGGAAACTCCAAAATAATGAAAACTAGTCATTTTCAGATTGAGTAATTAATGCTAGACACACATACAATACCATATCAATTTACATGCACATCCTGCATTTATTATTTGGCACGTATACATTGATTTGACACAGCATAAACTTGACCATGTGTATATATTAACAACTGTGTTATTTGAACAACAACAACAACAACCACCAAGCCTAATCTCACTAAGTAGGGTCGGCTACATGGATCAACTTTTGCCATAATATTCTATCCAAATTGTTAATCTCAAAATCTTTCTTAATAACTTTTCTGATAGTCTTTCTAAGTCTTCCTCTTCCTCTACCTCTAGTTGTTTGACTTCTCTCCATCTGATATACTCTACTTCCCACAAAATCTATAGGTCTTTTCTCTACATGCCCAAACCACCTAAGTCTATTTTCTACCATCTTTTCTACTGTAGACGCTACCCCGACACTCTAATACTTTCATTTCTAATCCTATCAGGTCTACTCTTACTACACATCCAACGCAACACCCACATTTCTGCTACACTTACTTTACTCTAATGTTATTTGAACATCAAAATAAATACACCTTGGGTATTTATGCCTATCTCTGTCTCACTTTCCATCTTCTACACCTTACACATATTTCAAAAATTCACACAAACCACAAGACAATGTATTTGACATCAAAACTATGATATCTAAAAGTCATTTCTGTAGAGTAAAGTACCTTTTGCTAGAGAAGTCATAATAGGCCAAAATACAACATGAGTTGTGTTTATATTTAGTGCACTTCAATAGAAGTGCCAAAAAGTGTAAAATCAAACCAATAGATTTCTTGTTTGCTTAATGTTTTTGTTGAACAAGATAAAGATAAAAACTGATACATTTGGACATATTATAACAAAAATGTAAATGCTTGAAGAATTATGAAATTTAGGGTTCAACTAACAACTAATTGGCAAGTAACTACGCATTCATCTAATGACCTAACCATTCAGTGATCTACGCGGGTTTCATAACTTTGAAAAAGAAGGAAAAGAAAATGTAAAAGAGAAAGTTGGAATAATACCTTGAATCTGAGAAAAGAAGGTTGAGTTGTGAAGGATTTGGTGAATGTGAGAGGTTGAAAACAAATGGAAGTGGAAGATAGGAGTTGAGATGAGGGATAAGGACGGAGAGACATTTTTGTGAAACAAAATTCAATGGGGGGTTTTAGGAATTAGTAGAAGATTAGGCGGTTCCAAGTTCCAACTCTGTAATGATCTTTCTGTATACCTTCAATCAGGTGGTAAAATGAAATTTTTATTGGATCACTGCATAAAAAAGTTAATTTAATTGATACTGAGGAAAACTATTAAAAACATTTTTTATTATTAAAATATTTATTATCAAAAATATTTGACTTTTATCATAATTATTTTTAAAATTATATTTATAAAGTTTGTGATAAATTAATAAAATAAGCCTTTTTGCATTAGCATCACATAATAATTACACTAAATTTTATAAAACTTAATTTGTATGCATTATTAATATACATAATTTTTATACCTTTAATCAATTACCATCACTAGATTATTAAAAATGTTTAACTAGTATTTTTAAGTATTTTTAAAATTATGATTATTGTCATACCTCAAATTTTACCTTTAGATCATTAGGTTTATTTCGCATTTCATTTCATTATGCATTGCATCTCATCTAACCGCTAACCAGTTTGCTTAGGTTGTCGCTTTTGCAGGAAATATTACCCTGTGTGCGATTTAATTGGTGAAGGGCAAAAAAGGTCATTAATTTGCAGTATGCCGACAATTCATGAAGCCAATGCGTCATCAGGAATTCTTCAAGTGATTAGGAGTTCTCGTGACACAGTATTTTTTATTCAAGAGCCGAGATTTAGTCGTCAGTTAGATTTCAGAAGTGCTTGTTGATTCATAAACTGTATGGAGCTGAGTGCGTTGCAATATGAATGGATTTGGGTTAAATCGGTACTAGAATTTGCTTTGAGGAATTTATTCCGACAGACACACGTTTTCCTGCTTTCTGCTAGTCGTCAGTCGATTTTAAAGAAAACAGTGAAATTTTGGTTCGTGTTGAATTTATAATGAACATTTGTGGGTTTATAATGATTATTAGTCGAGCTGATTCAGGTTACAGAGTTAGATTGTTCGAGATACAATTTGAATTTTCAATGCGAGAGACAGTTCGTTTCGCCGTTTAATTGAATTTCTCTACTTATCTGAGGTTGTATTCACTGATTTTATTGTCGGATACGAATTAATTTGCAAATGGATTGGTTTGAACTCGGCAGTTACGTCGGATTTAAATCGTGCAAGATGATTAATTGTCGAATTCGGAGTTGGAACGTCAAAGCTTAATCAGACAATTTTAACCGGGTGAATCAGACGAATTTGCTTGGATGAGTTTAATCAGATAAAATTAATTAAATGAGTTTATTTGCTTGAATTTAATCGGATGAATTATTTGGAGAAATTTAATCGGAGAAGTAAATTCAATTTAATAAGAAAAATAGAATTTATTTATTCTATATTTTTATTACAATATACAAAAATGATTACAATTTTAAATCCATTCCTAAAAAGTCCTAATTTTGTTAAGATTGTCTTCGTGCCAATCTTCATCTTCGACTTTTTTCTGAACCTGCAAAAAAAAATCGATAGCAGAGAAAACAAGTGTTAAAGTTAGAATTAATCAGAAACGTTTTGTTTGTATTCTGATACCCTCAATTATATTTCATCATCGGGTACGTCGGGAGGGGTAACAAATAAATGTCGCTGCATCCCCCGACTTCACTTTCCGACCCTGGCACCGACCTGACAATTTCTGTTTCAATTTGTTCCAACAGAGAGAAAAGTGATTTTTTTGGAAAAGTGATTTTGAAAAAAGTGCTTTTGGAAAAAGCACTTTTCCTAAAAAATGATGTTTTTGCCAAACAAGTCATAAACACATTTTCGCAAGCTTCTGAACCACAAACGAATCAAACAACTTTCCCAAGTTTCTAGCCAAAACGAACAAAACCAGTTCCTGGAAAAATTCCAAAATTCCAACAACAACAGAACCATCAAATTCGCAACAACAGCCAACAAATCAACCTCAAAATAATCACAATAAATAAACCAAATTTGCAACAACATCCAACAGTACAGCCATAAAAAACGCAATAACAGCAACAACTTCATCATCAATATCGCAACAAATTCATCGTAACAATAATCGCCCAGGCCTATCAAGAACCAATATAAAAGAACATCATCAGTTCATAAAAAATGAGGCATCAAGAACGAATCTGGAGTTCAAAAATCAAGAACAGAGGAAGGCATCAAGAAGGAGGACTCGAAGAACCACCAAGGAAGGCCCCAAAACGTCCAACGGCAGCCACAGGCAGGGAGGCTTAGAGAGACGAAAATCTTCGTCACCATCATCACCACCGCGCGGCTACTACCGCCACCGGGAAAGCCACTGTAAGCTTCACTGCAATTTTGTTCTTCTTTCTCTCTCCATTTTATTTTGCAGGTCAGAAGAAGGAAGAAGTTTGGCCATGGGAGTTTGCGAAGAAAAGCTAAAAGAAGAAGGAGAAGCGGAACGGCCATGCAAAGAAGAAGAAGAAAGAAAAAGTGAAAAAGCTCTGAAGATCCATGGAGGCCGCCGCCGCGAAGAAGAAGAAGGAAATGGGTTTCCAAAAACCCTAAAATGCTTCAGCAAAACTAACTACCCCCTTTTATATTTTTGTTTTATATTATTATTATTATTATATTATTTTTTTTCTTACTTCATTTCTTTTTAGCATCTAATTTAAAAGAAACTTAATAAAGAAAAACATTTATAAATAACTTACCATTAAAATCTAATTTTTAATAAAACTAAATCAAAAACTATTTTCTAAAAAAAGACGTAATTAAGTATCTTTTTTTAAAACCAATTTTTAAAAACAAAACGTAAAATTAAAAATTATTTCTAAAACTTAAAATTCAAACTTCTTTTAGAATTTAGGATTGAAGCAAGACCCTTTTTTAGGATTAAAACATTTTAATAAAAAATTCATTTTAAAAATTAAGTTTGAAATTTTTTAATTTAAAAACTAACTTTAAAAAAAACTAAGATTTTTTTATAGATTAAAACTTACCATAATTAATATTTTTTTAGATTAAAACTCATTTTTAAAAAAGAGGCTCCAACTTAAAAGTTTTTTTAGACTAAAATTAACACTAAACTATTAAAAACTTGTAATTATAACTTAACTTTTTAAAAAAAAAAGGGACTTAATTGTAGAAAATTATTTTTAAAACTTAATTAAAAAAATTTCTTTAATTATTAGTCTATTAATCCAATTCTTTTCTTAAAATCCAAATTTTTGTGAATATTAATTTCTGACAAATTCCCAAACTAACATTAAACTTAAAAATATGGCTAACATCTCGATTTCAGTTACGAATTAATTTTGCCCGTTTATAGCCCCATTAATTTTGTATAACGCTTATGCCGTTCTTTTCATATTTCTCATTTGTACAATTACTAATTTCATATTCTTTCCGTATTTTTCATGGTTGTAATTTATGCGAGGACATCGTCGCTTTTATTATGTTATTATTCTTGCATTTTCTATGGTTGTAACTTTATGCGAGGCAATCGTCGCTTGTGTTCCGTTATTATCCTTGCACATTTTCCATATTTTCATACTGCCGCTTAATTATTTCGCATTACATTATTTACTGTTAAGATCCCCTCCAAAAGATAGGTCTAGCAGTTTGACCGTCGTGTCAATAGTCCTTTACCCTTGACTCTTTCCCCTTTCAAACCTAGAAACTCCGAGTCTCCGTACTCATATTTTTAGGCGTCCCGCTTGAAGGTGAGAGAATACTTAGAAGGGGGGTTGAATAAGTATGAAGATAAAACTTAGAAATAAAAACTCAAGGATTTTTATCCTGGTTCGTTGAACTCAACTACTCCAGTCCACCCTATCTAGAGTGATTTGCCTTTCTCAAACAAGGACTTAATCCACTATTTAATCAATTGATTACAATAGTAAGCACTAAAAACAACTGTTCAAAGTCTTCTCAAGAACTACTGATCCTAACTGGATCTTCTTAAGGTTTTCTTACAATCAAATGTAATAATAAATACAAGTGTTAAAATGCTTCTAATAAAGCTTTATCACAACTGTGATTTTTCACTTAAGATTAAGAACAATGAAATAATTCTAGCAAGAATATATGAGTTATATGAGAGCTTTTTAATGAATTCTTTTCAAGTGTGTTCGTCAATTGAAGAAGATGAGTGGAGACTTGCTTTTATAGGCACTGTGATCCAAGAGCTTTTCACGTTGAGAATAGTGTACCAAAAGGTCTGAACCTTTTTGTCTTCACATCAAGTGACCTTTCCTAGAAGAAGAATGCACAGAGAAATCCTTTTTGTCTGTGTTCTTGTGTCTAGCATAAATAAGGAAAGAGTCGTTTGGATATTCCAACGGACATAATCTTTGAATTCTTCTTCAACAATTTTCAGCAAGAATCATCAGAGTCTAAGTTAGTCAGAGCCTTCTGATGTTCATCAGAGTTTTGCTGAATCAGATTCTTTGCAGCAAGTGTGCTTTCAACGTGTATAAGTTCATAGCAGAGTTTTGGGTCAGATCCTCAGTACTGGCAGCGTTAGTACTATCAGAGTCTTCTAAAGTAAATGTGCTTGAAAAACTCTTCATACAGACTTCTTCATTGCTTCAGATGCTTCTGGCTTGCTTCAGATTCTTCTGTAGCTTCTGCTTCAGATCCATCTAGAGGCAGCGCTCAGAATATTCTGGTGGCAGCGTTCAGAATCTTCTAAGAGATGCTTCTGACACTTCAGAGCCTTGCATATTTCTTATGTTCAGATCTAATTTGCTTCTGGAGTGATATTTACTTTAACATCTGCAGCAAACATTCTCAAGCAAATTTTATAGTATATAATTCTTCAATACAAAATTTCATAATAGTTATCATCAAAACATAGAGATATTATTAAGAACCAATCTGTGTTCTAACAATCTCCCCCTTTTTGATGATGACAAAAACATCAGAAATTTTATTCAGTTGGAAAAGAAAATAATTATAACTCCCCCTGAGATGATGAATCTCCTCCTGAATTGAATATTAATAAGGAATAGAAACTTCCCTTTTTGTCTTGAGTATT